TGAGTGGGCCACAAAGGCCATCATGCAAAGCTATGTGTTCACATTCAAGAGATAGCAGGGCTAAGACTTTCCAGTTTTTACATTCTTTCACTATCTCTTTGATCATATTGACTCTCAAATCTACACCCTCCTTCCCAAGATCTTTTTTGATCAAACTTTTTCATTTAAAAGAAGTGAATATACATACAGGAAAGCACACAAATCCGTGTGTCTACAGCCTGATGAATGGTCACAAAGTGAGCATAACAGTTCAGCTACCCCCCAGGCAAGAAATCAACCATTACCAGGAGCTCACCAGCCCCGTTTGGGCTCCTTCCAGCTCCCTCATGGCAACACTCCTGATTTCCAACACCATACTTCAGCTATTTTTTTACACTCATTCATTCAACTAGTATTTCTCAGCTAGGCACCGGAACTTCTCAGTCCTGGCAGATGGTGTTACAAACCCAAACACAAGATTTCATCCTAGTAAGCTTCCTGTTGGTAGACTGGATTTTCTGGGGGCGTGACCTATTTTAGGCAGGATTGGGGGTGGGTGAGCTCTCTGAACTCTCAGGGATTTTACCTAATAAATATTTTTCTTATTATCTATTTATTTAAGCACATCCAGTACTTCCTACAAGAGCAGATGTGACCATAGCAAGAATCTCCTTGCTGCCTGACACATGAGAAGCAGCCTGCCCAGCTGGCACCTGCTGTCCTACAACCAGCCTCAACACGGCATCGAGCTGCCTGCACCAGTGACAGCAAAGCAGCACCCACCTGTCTACAGCTCAGGTATTTTCTCTCGCTCTCAGTCTCACAGCCTCAGCCTTCTAGGAGGTTTCTAGGGCTGGGTAACTAGTTCCTTCTGGGTTGGGGAATGGGGAACAAGTGTACAACTTATTTTGGCTCAAATATAAGATTGACATTTGGTTTTAGAAATAGCAATATTTCTTATGCAGCTTCCATTTTATGAAAATTAGGGATACGTTTCCCATCCTCTTATCTATTTAGTCAACAAAGGTCTTAATGGAGGAGTGGACAGCTGGATTCTTAAAATGCCAGCTCCTTCCCAGTATCCTCTAAATCAGACATTTCTGTTTGAGCATGCACCTGCAAAAATGGTATGTTGTTTTCCAGCTTCACTACAAGATCCTTGCCAGAATTCAGGATAGGTATCTCAAGGATACCATTACAAGTTCCAAATAATTCCATCTTTCATGCTTGAAAAGCTGTGACTGTAGGGTCCCTGTAGGGAATAGCTGGTGCCTTCAGTGGGGAGGGGCTCGAGAGTGAGCAGCTCAGGGACACTGTGGTCTACAATTCAGCCACATCCTTTGTGGTAATAAACTGCAACAAAATGTACTTTAAATATATTTTTATAATCAGTTGGCTTTTAAATTACAGCCATGCTGAATAAGAGCAGAGAAAACATATGATTAGTAATTTCCTTATGTAGAAAGTGGAACAGTTTCTGGCTAAGGCCCAGGGCTTTAAAAAATGTGCTTTTAGTAAAAAAAAGAAAATGGAAAACTGTCTTTATTCCAAAGCCAAAGCAATGGTTCATGGCCTCCTCCTGAGCAGTAACAGTCCAGCTCCACGAGGAAGTGGAAATGGAAAAGATTAGCTTGGGAAAATATTCTAAGCTGTCTGCCTACCCAGCCACTGTCATCTATATACTAAGCCACCCTCTCTGGTCCTTATAAGCACAGAAAAATGGATCTGTGGTAGCCGTGGTTACTGGTCTTCTAGAAATGACTATTCCAGGAGATGCAGAAATGCTACTGAACATGGATGTGCAGCACAGAAAGCCTATGTGGGATCCTGATCACCAGTGAAAGGCGGCTCCTTATAGAGCTAAGGGAAAGCCAATGTTTGTTTTGATGCAGCTCCCCCATCTTGCCTAACACATTTGGGGAAGAATAGATGTATCATGTTTCATACTTTGGGAGCAACAGCTTCTTAATGTGGACCAAAGGCTATGTTCAGAAACACCTGGAATGCTTGTTAAGGACAGGGATTCTCAGACTGAAAGAGTCCTCAGAGCAGGCTGGAAATGTGCTTTTTTTTGAGAACAGTCTCATTCTGTTGGCCAGGCTGGAGTGCCATGGGGGGTGATCTCGACTCATTGCAACCTCCGCCTCCCAAGTAGCTGAGATTACAGGCCTGCACCACCATGCCCAGCTAGTTTTTTGTAGTTTTGGTAGAGATGGGGTTTCGCCATGCCCAGGCTGATCTCGAATTCCTGAGTTCAGGTGATCTGCCTGCCTCGGCCTCCCAAAGTGCTAGGATAATGGGCGTGTGCCACCGTGCCCGACTGAAATTTGCATTCTCTACCTGCTCCCTCTGGGAATTTTTAAGCATCCTGTGAAGGGAAGGCTTATATGAAATCATAAAAATGTAATTCTACTTGTAGCAAGCTCCCTGCAAAAGATCTAGCAGGATTTACAGACAGGTTATATTTGGTCATTATTTCCTTTGAAGGAGAAATGGTTTTCTTATGTGATTCCATCTGCAAGGACTGTCAGATACCATCAGTACTTCAGTACTACAAAAATCAGGCATACTGTTCTTCTCCCAAGTATTGACAACTTATAAGGAAAGGGCTCAGTGCTTCATTTATTTTGGAGACCAGTGCTAGATGAAATGTTGCTAGTAAATTTCTCCAGAAGCACCCTTCCTCCCCTTTGGTGAGGCATTTAGTTGTCAGTTTAGTCGTAATAGTGTCAGGACAAGTTGCCAGTTTTTCTTTTTCCTTTTTTTTTTTTTAAAAAGAGATGGGGGTCTCACTACATTGGCCAGGCTGGCCTCAAACTTCTGGACTTAAGCAATCTTCCCACCTCAGCCTCTGTCCCAGTAGCTGGGATTACAGGTGTGAGCCACCACACTTGGCTTAGTTTTACTTTCTTAACATTAAACTCTCAAAAGTCCCACGGTTCCATTCCTATTGTCTTGGGGTGGTTCCCAACTGTCAGTGGCTTGACTTCCCAGGCAAGGTTTCTGAGAAATTGGCTCTTCGTCACTTAAAGGTTTAAACCTTGTGTGTGTGTGAGACAGGGTCTCACTCTACCATCCAGGCTGGAGTGCAGTGGCACAATCATGGCGTACTGTAGCCTTGACTTCCTGGGCCAAGGTGATTCTCCCGTCTCAGCCCCCAAGTAGCTGGCACTACAGTGCATGCCACCACACCCAGCTAATTTTTATCTGTTGTAGAGATGGGGTCTTGCTATATTGCCCAGGCTTGTCTTGAACTCCTGGTCTCAAGTGATCTGCCTGCCTCAGCCTCCCAAAGTGCTAAGATTATGGGTGCGAGCCACCACACCTGCCTAGACTTCTCTTAAGCTGGAAAATAAGATCAAGAGTTGCCAACCCCATGCTGGCCTTACTTGGGAACCTTGCCCAAGCCTCCTGTCACACATCCCTTTTATGGAGTTTGTGCCTCAATAAACTGCAGCCGTACCAATGGGGATAATCAGGTTTGTTTATAAAGTGTACCAGGATCCCAAGATAAAAGGCATTCTAAATGCCTAGTGTGATTAGAGCAAACAAGGTACCAGCTAGCATTCATTACATAGAGGTTAGATACATATCGTGTAAGACCTCACTCAACGATAAAACAAGCACTCATTTTCTTTTTCTAAATCTAGCATGAGAAATCAGAGGGCAGCATGCAGACCCGGGGGTTCATTTGCTCATTTATTTACACTCATGCCTTTCCTTTCTTAGATGGAACAAAGAAAATTCCCAGGCCCACAAACCACCAGAGATACAACCTTATTTGCTCAAAAGGTAGGTCATACCCATAAGGGGCAGGGGCAGGCCACGCACAGCTCTACCTCTCTACACACACACACACACGCAGACACACAGACACACACACACACACACACTCTCTCTCTCTCTCTCTCTGTCTCTCTGTGGCTGTGACCTCACTTTCACAGTTCATGCAGAGGAGGAAGGTCGTCCATGTGGTCCTGGGAGAGCTGGTCTGTTGCTGCCCAGGTCTGCCTGCATGGCTCTCACAGCCCCCCAAAGTTTTCCTCCAAAAGGTTCAGATCTTGACTCTGAAACAGATCTCATAATGAAACACCTATGGGAAAAGTCTATTCTCTGGCCTTTTTCCTGAGCTCAATAATGTTTCATTTTTAAAAAGGGGAAGGAGGGAGGGAGGGAAAGAAGTCTGATATTTCTCCAGTGCACTTGGCTCTCACAGATGGCCTTGGTCAAAATTCACCACCAGCAATTGTGCCAAAACACCTAGTTTGAATTCTGGCTGTCATGCTGCTTCATTTAATGAGATGGTTCCAATTTCCTTTACTGTTTAAAAAGAATTTGAGGCCAGATGCAGTGGCTCATGCTTGTAATCCCAGCACTTCAGGAGGCCGAGGCGGGTGGATCACGAGGGGTCAGGAGATCAAGACCATCCTGGCCAACACGGTGAAACCCCGTGTCTACTAAAAATAAAAAAAATTAGCTGGGCGTGGTGGTGGGTGCCTATAGTCCCAGCTAAACTCTGGAAGCTGAGGCAGGAGAATGGCGTGAACCTGAGAAGCGGAGCTTGCAATGAGCTGAGATCACGCCACTGCATTCCAGCCTGGGCAACAGAGCGAGACTCTGTCTCAAAAAAACAAAAAAAAAAGCCCGGCTTCATCTCTCCTTTCTTGTCACTACACGTTTCACCCAGTCACCCGGCAGTTGTACTCAGAGTCAAGGCCTAGTGCTTCCGCACCTGAGAAGAACCACCTCGGGCTCCCCTTGGAGGCTGCCTATCGGAAGACTGCTTTGCCTAAGGAGGCCTCAAACTTCAGCCTCCTGACTCGCAATCCCAGTCAGGAGTCAAGCTCTGGAAGTGGACAAGTGCCCTTGGAAGATGCTGTCTCCCTGTCGGAGCCTGTGACCAGTGGACTGGCATACTCGCCCTCCCTGCTCAGCTCAGTCCATCAGCGTGTGCTGCCACTGCTGCTAAGTCAATCGGCTTGGGGTGGACAGCTGTCAGAGATGAATCAGGGACAAGCAAAAGAGCTTAATGAAATTTTATTTTGAAAATATGGCAAGAGTCTAAGGCACTTCAAACATTTAAATACATAGAGGACCAAAGGAAATGTGACATGGTATAAAGGAATCCATAAATACAAAGAGAACTATACCATGTTTCTCTAGAGGCAAATACAAGAGCCAATTCCTCTAACACAATCCAACCTTTATCATTAGAGTTGTGCAATTAATAAAAATGATAATGTTACATGTAGTTCTTCATATCTTTAGTATGGACTATAAAAGTTGAAAATACTGTGTCAATTTCATATAGATACTCTTTTTATAAAAAGTCATATATTACATCTACCTAGATAAAACCAAATGAGAATATTCTTTTGTAAGTTTTATACTTTGAGAGTTTTGTCTACCCCAGGCCCAAGTTACCGATAATCAAAGTCATCTCAACTTCCTTATTTTAAAATAAGAAAAAAATCAAAACTATGCTGAAATGAGATTTATGGAAGAGCTTCCTAATAGTTCCACATTTAATAAATGTAAATATTTGAGGAAAAATTTTAAAACTTCTCAATGAGAACCTGACACTTCTTTGTGGGAGTGAACAGAAGGTGCCCCTTCAGATCAGGTCAGAATTTCCTATGACTGTACAAAACGGAGCAGAGACTCAACAGCAACAGAGACTGGGTTAAAGTGTGCCCTACACAGAGAGAAGATGGCCAGAAAGGAGGCGCGCGTGCCCAGGCTGGCAATCTCCTGCACTATGAAAGCTTCAGCCTTTACCCCTGGGCTTGATGCTTCCGTTTGCTGGTGAGCTCAGGCACAATACATATACATTCAGTATCTGTCACCCCAACAGGAACAATTAGCAGCTTAATGGTGGCATGTAAATGAGGGCTATTTGCATACAATCAATCAAATGAACCTCGGTGGGTGGGGCCAGGAGACGTCTTCCTTCCAAGCCTAGGGGTGCCCTAGAGACCAGGAAAGGAAAAAAACTGGGGGTTAATAAGTGATCTCAGGCAGATGTGTACCCTGTGACATAGGATCTTGGCCCACCACAGCCAACAACCAGCTGTGAGCCCGAGCCAGGAGAGCTCTGAGAAGAGGGAACAGGTGTCCACAGCTCCAAGGCCAGCTGGGCTCAGCACTGCTATGTCCGGCTGTCCTGGGAAGTCACCTTCCCACTCAGAGTGAACTGTGGACTACAGGCTGCCTGCCATCTGCTTCAGTAACAATGCCAGAACCATGGTGAAATAACCCCATGGGCTCGGAGGGTGCTATCTGGATATTTCTAAACAGAATCAAAACCTCTATGGGAAGCTGTGAGAGCATCTGTCTTGCAAGGACCAGCAGGGCCCAGCCTCTGCTAAAACAGTTCTCCTGCCCTTTAGGGGCAGAGGCAGAAAGGAAGAACTCTTAAGCTCCAGACTAAAACTTCCATTTTCTGAATCAACATAAAATCTGTCTCCTGTCAGTTCCTGGAGGAAGGGGGTCCACCAGTCTGGTGGATTTCAGCCTATTTACAAATGCCAAATGCACAACACTGACCGGAGACTGGGCTTTTGCAAAGTTGACATGGGCATACAGAAGAACAGCGATGTCCTTGTGTCCTGCTTCCAGGGCGATCGAGAGCGCAGTGCTGCCATCCTTAAGATAAGACGGAAAGAATAAGCCATGTTGGGTTTCTCAAACCTCCAGGCAACCAAAAGGTAGCAGAACAAAACACCCTCCAGTAATTGGCAAGGTTCCCCAAATATCCCTCCTTGTTCCGTCCTCTGGGAAACTTTCAGGACCTGTAAGTTTGAAGGCCTGAGGATGTGAAGATGAAGGAGGCAAGCCTCCACCCTCCAGAGGTCCCAGTTAAGAGAATTATCTTATCCAAGCATTCTGCCCACCAGGAGGGGGAAGCAGAAGATGGGGACAGAAAGCTTTTTTTTTTTCTTATAATTATGAATGACCAGGCAAGCAGCAGTAGTGTGTGTTTAGAGACTCTGCAATTTGCCAAAGATCTTTTACCTTTCCTCTTAGAGAGGGCACTGTGATCCTAAAACCCTAACCACCTCTGTTTAAGGCTCCAAGGAACATCTGTGTGTAAGCACACAATCCCAGTGGGTTACATAGATATGTATTCTGGAAATAAGAGGGGAAACACTACATATGGGGGAAAAAAGCTTCACTTAACTGCTTGATTTCCATTAAATTTCAGCAATTATAGATGGATATACAGGAGTATCAAGGGAAAGAACATAACTTGTTTTCTGTCTAGTCTTTGTTTTTTGAGACAGGGTCTGCCTCCCAGGCTGCAGTGCAGCGGGACGATCACACATCACTGTAGTCTTGACCTCCAGGGCTCAAGTAATTCTCCCACCTCAACCTCCAAGGTAGCTGGGACTACAGGTGTGTACCACCACACCTGGATAATTTTTTTTTGTAGAGATGGGAGTCTCACTATGTTGCCCAGGCTGGTCTCGAACTCCTGGGCTAGAGCGATCCTCCTGTCTCAGCCTCCCAAAGTGCTGGAATTACAGGAGTGACCCACTGTACCCAGCCTATCTAGTCTTGAAATAAGGATTTCCCTCTGGTCAGCAGCAGCAGGACGAGACGACACAGTTCTCCTTTCGTTTAATGTTAGGATCCTTCCCTCACACGCTTTGAATTTTGAAAGAGAATAGAAGTAAAATCAAACAAAAACCACAGCACAGCTAACAAACTCTTCTGGAAGAACAAGTCAGAAGCTCTCCCTCCCACAGGGGAAGAAGGGAATCTGGTACAGCTATAGCTCCTGTGTGCTCCTGTGGAGGTAGCTGAGTGTGAAGCTAGTCAGTCCCTCATACCAGTGAAAAGCTCAGCTGGTTTGTTCTCCCTACTGGCTTGGGCCCAGAAGGGTCTGACCTACAAAGGATATTTTCCTAACTTTTTGGTGTTTTGAGCTGAAGAAGCTCTGATCCAAACCTGTGATCCGTAGAGAGAAACTTTCACAAACAGAACCAAGCCAGCCCGACCTCTATGACCTTTAAACCATCTCACTGCCTACACACCAGTTCCCACGCCTTCTACCTATCGCCACGCCTCTCCTTTGGCCTGGAGACACCCAGAAGTTTCCCGGTCAAGGAGTTAGATGGAAATGTGGACAGCCTGGGAACTGGGAGAAGAGAGCCGATGGTGTTGATGGGACAGACTGAGAAGAAATGGGAAAATGCTTCAAGAAGTCAAGCTAGTCTGCAGGCTCTGGGGTATGCTGTGTCATAAGCTACTCACTTTGATGGGTCACAGTGCCTTCACTTTGGGTGGGAAAGGTTCACTGTAGTAGGAACTGGTTTTAGTCACTGTGTAACCCCAGCCTCTAATGATTAATAATCCAGATTTCCAAGTGGACCTGTCAGAAGTCACCTATAGTGAATTTGATTCTGCAATGCAAAGCCATTGATTCCCCTTTAGTAGAGTGCCTCTTGGACATGCCCGTTAAGTCACTTTTTCATGTCATGAATTATGGGGTAGGACCTATTCTGCTTTGGGCACTAGTTTATGAGAGTGTTAGTTTGCACACACTAAGTGTAGCCAAGCTTGGCTGTGAAGGGAGGCGCCTGGATGGCAACACAAATCCAAGAGGAGAATAAAGGAGGATTTGGTCTCCCCTGGCCAAACAGCACTCCCAGAGCTCCCGCCCAGAGTCCCCCAGACCCCTGGCCAGGAGGCCCAGTGGAGACGGCTTACGTTGTCCTCCCCAGAGCTCCCGCCCAGAGTTCCCCAGACCCCTGGCCAGGAGGCCCAGTGGAGACGGCTTACGTTGTCCTCCCCAGAGCTCCCGCCCAGAGTTCCCCAGACCCCTGGCCAGGAGGCCCAGTGGAGACGGCTTACGTTGTCCTCCAGGTGACCATTGCAGCCGGGCTGGGCCAGCAGCAGCTTGACGATCTCCACATGCCCATGCTCACTGGCACACATGAGGGCCGTGGAGCCCTCGTCATCCTGGATGTTGACGTCAGCCCCACAGGCCAGCAGGCCCTTCACCATGTCTATCCGTCCGTGACTGACCGCCAGCATGAGGGCCGTCTGTCCCGCCTGTGGGAAGAGATCACAGGGGACTTCAGAAGTACATACTGAGCTGGCAGTGGTGCCTCCTGGTGGGGCTGTGCTAGGGAAAGTGGGAAAACAGTGTGGTGACAGAAGGGAAAGAACTGGCCATGGAACTACTTGGGGTGGGTGGTGGCAAGCAAGGAGAAACCAGCTTCCCATGAGCTATGAGCTAAGGAAGGGCATAAAGTAAGGAGCCAATTTCCCTTTAGCGTGGAGGATGTCTCAGTACAGTGAGGGGCTGGAAGTTCAGGTGGTTAAAGTCAAACTGTGGGTGGTGGGTCACGCCTGTAACCCTAGCACTTTGGGAGGCCGAGGCGGGCAGATTGCCTGAGCTCAGGAGTTCAAGAGCAGCCTGGGCAACACTGAAACCCCGTCTCTACTTTAAAAAAGAAAAAAAACCAAGTGTGGTGGCACATGCCTGTTAGTCCCAGCTACTCGGGAGGCTAAGGCAGGAGAATCGCTTGAACCCAGGAGGTGGAGGTTGCAGTGAACCAAGATCATGCCACTGCACTCCAGCCTGGGCGACAGAGCGAGACTGTCTCTTTAAAAAAAAAAAAAAGTCAAGCTGTGAACACATCTGGACCTGGGACATCGCCTGCGACGAAGACACTGCAACACAGAGACAGGAAGCAAGTCACCAAGTATCTGATGGGGATGCCCAGTCATTTATATGTAAGGGAACTAACAGCATTTCCATGCAAACTATGCAAGTGGAGGAAAGGCAAGGCAAAGGAGGGAGAAGTTTCCAGTGTGAAATTTAAGCCCATATTTCCCTGGTGTGTTGGCTCAGCAAGGAGCACCAGGCAGTGCATGGACTCAGGGCAGGCCTGCGAACAAGTGCACGTGGTGGGAGTGTGGCAACTATGCCTGCTCTGCCAGAGTGGCCACCACAGTCCTGTCTGCTGGTCAGGGGTGCATTCCTGAGCACGGGAACCAAGCGCGCTAACCTGACTAGCTTTGGCGTTCACATCCCCGCAGCCAAAGAGTTCTTCCACAACCCGCATGTCCTTCTCTGCTTCCACAGCGGCGAGGGCTGCCAGCATGATAGGGGTGTAGCCTGCCTTGTTCTGGTGATCGACGTTACACACATCTGCAAAAAAAAGTCTCTTAGGAAGCAGGCCCTTCTAACAGCAGCCGCTTACAGAGCCACTGAAGGGATGGTGTTTACAGGAGCCCAGTGAAATGGCACCAGGTGGCTGGAGACCAAGAGTGACTTAGAATGAAATGTGAGAGATGTTTGCGTGCTAAACCAAAAACTTTTTTTTTTTTCCTATTTCACGAGACCTGAAGCAACAGAAACAACGGTAAGCTTCTACAGCATATCTTATTTGCAACTGGTAGCAGAAATGCAATGGCTTGGAAGTCTGGGTGGTGGTTCTAATGGCTGCTCTTGAGAATAAATGATCATATGGAATCTAAGCACTTAGCTGTGTTTGGAAAGTGAAGCAGGTAGTGAGCTACTCATCAAAGAAGTGTTTGTAAAAGCTTATGTATGGAACGTTGGACAGAGTGGTACCTACTTATCCAAACACTATTCATTCTGAGACTCTGAATTTACTACTCTAGCCTGTCAGGGGTCCTAGAGAAGCAGAATTCCAATCATGTAACACCCAGCTCTAGAATTTATGGTCTGGGAGCAAATGCAGTTAAGTCCCCTTAATAGACTCGATGAACCAGACCTTTTCTATTCCTGTAATTCTTAAGGAGTCTTCAGGGATTAAACTATCCTTCGGGCATTTAAAAGTTCCTTCAGCGCCTTCTCTGAAATGACCGGAATGGTGAGTGTTAGAAAGCAGCTTTTATGTGGGACCAAATATGAAGTGAAAATGTTTAGAATGTTTCTATCATAAAGGAAAAGAAAAGGTACCATGAACAACAACTCCACGCTAAGGACATGTTTTTAAAAGTGGGTGTTTTTTATGCAGAAAATAAAAGGCCCCGTGGTGGAGAAGTGGGTGAGTTCGTGTGTGCTTCGGGGCTCCTCAGCCTCTCAGACTTTGCTCTGCATAGATGCTGAAGTATCCTAGATCTGCACCTTATGGAGCCAGAATCTCAGTCTAGAAGGATGAGCAGTAATACTTCATTAAGAACAGTGATTAACCCAAACCATCCAACAATGGCATTAAAATTATTTAATTTGCCAAGATGTTTTATCTACTTCTAAGTACACTAAGCTGTTCCTGTCAGGAGTGATAGTGAAATCTTGTTTTCAGCTTCCCTGGATATTATCTACTTCTGTTTAAACAGTTTAATCACTCCCGCTGACCATATCACCAGCTCTGTTTATAGTCTGGAAAGCCTGAAGAGGAGCGGCTTGAAATTCCTTCCTGTAAGATGGAAGCAGTTATATCCTAACATGGCTCCAAAAACAGGGAACAAACACTTATAAAAGAAGGATAAATCTGCTTGGGTTTCTTCTCTGCATCAATTCCAAGTTCCCAAAGCAGAGCAGAAGAGATTGGACAGTGGATGAAGAAAAAATTTTGGAAGAATATGCAATAAAACTGTCCAATTTAAGTCAGGTTCACATTGTATCCTCATTAATCAGACTGAGGTTCTGTGGATTCTCTGTGACACACTAGAAGTAAAAATACGTACTACAAAAATTGAAAGATTTGGGGACTATGTGACACAGGGTTGCTCCATTTGAACAAGAAGTTGAAAGCTCAGAGTTTCCTGAGGGGACCACCTGTGTATGTGCTCCTCCCTCACTTCATGTCTAAGACGTCCACTGGCTCTATTCTGGGATGACAAGTTTCTACTATTCTATTATGGTTGAGAGACAAGAATCATATGCCCTTTGCTCTATGCTGTTTCCCCAATAATAGAATATTTTGGTGTGAATGATGATCATTTGACCATCTGTTATGGTGGCTTTGCTTAGTCCCCATCTTGACTAACCACACACTTCTGCAAGGACAGCAGTCATGGAGTAAGGACAAATCAAGTGGTCCACAAGCACCAAGGCTGTGACTCTGGGCCTGTAAGCAGTACTCTGCCTCCTGAGTGCAAACCAGCCAAGCCTGCATGATTCAGCTCAGGAGGGAACGTGAGTCATGCTTCTTACCAGGGATACACCTCTCACTTGAATGCAGCTGAACTGCAGCAGCAAGAAGATCCTCAAAACCTCCTTTCAAAACAGATCTGGAATCTGTGTCACCCAGTTTTGTTTAAACTTCAACCCTCCTGACTCAAGAAAACTCTTGCCGTGTCATGTGGAAAAGCAATAAAAAGGATTTTAGCATGGTCAGAGAATTTGGGAGCAGCTCAACCAGGTTCTCTGAGATGAGTCACAACCCAAGTGCTGTTAGAGAAGAGATGGGGTAGAGGGGCAGCCCACATACCGGCATCCAACAGCAGCTTCACAATCTCGAAGTTGGAGTGGGACACGCTGTAATGGAGGGCTGTGTTGCCGTTGCCATCTGCCAAGTTGATGACATAGCGGAGGACATCTGGGGAGATGACCTCAAAAGCAGCTATGTAGTCCCCCACCATGGCTGGAATGGCTGACTTCTGACTGGACACGCGGAACCACTCGTGCTGGAGGGTGTTCAGACAGAACCTCTGCCAAAACACAGTGTGGTCATTAGTTCTATTTATAGACTTTTTGAGACCTAGTTGAAAGCGCAAGTAACCTGTCCTTTTATAGTCAAAGTATATATGCAGTTACAATCTGCTCTCAAAACCCAAGAGTGCTAAGGGAAGCTTCAAACACCAAACTGGGACATTCCTCCTGATTTTAAACCACACGTAGATTAGATCTCATGTCTATAAAGGAGACCAGACAGCACCGTGCAGAAGCAGAGGCTCTGGAGCCAGACCACCGAGTTTCAAATGCAGGCTCTGCTACCTAAAACCTTTATGACCCTCTGCTTCCGTTTCCTCATCTGAAAAATTGGGATAATACCATTCTTTCATAGTTTTTGTGATGAGAATAAACACTAAGGCTTGACTCAATTTATTAAGCTATTAATATATGTAATCATACTGGCCTTGAAAACAATTTTCATAGCAATTAGGAAGAAATTAACTAGCCTACACTGAATTATGCTGCTTCCTTCCTATCCAAACTCACTTCCTTCAACTCCTCAGCACAGCATTAGATTGGGAGACTAAGGGTATAGCCAACCCAATTCCCACCCCAATCCCAAATACAACTGTTCAACCATGGAAAGGGAAAATAAAAAGGAAGCCCATCTGGAACTAATTTCATTTTCTCATCAGCTCCACTCTGACTTTCTTAAGCTGTGGACACATGAAGAAGGCACTTGCTTTGTGGATGATCAGCTCAAACCTGGGTCACATGAAGCTCAATGGAGAGTGAGCATAGTCAGTGCTGGTGATGAGGATGACTACAATGTCTTTTCAATGGACCTTCCTTCATATGAGTTTAATATTCATTTCTGCTGTGCTTACTCTTTAAAAGTTTAAAAACATATCAAAGAAAGACAGCCTATGTCAAAAGCATCAGAACTTAAGAAGTCCTCTTTCTGCAGAAAAGGTAGAGTTGGGATTATACAGCTTCCATCTCTTTATCATCCTGCTACTGATTATTTAGTTTTAACCTTTTCAATCACATTTTGGGTCACTTGAAAAGTATCCTTTTTTCCCTGTATTTTATGTATTCAGATTCCTATTTCTTTGGAGTTGTCACACTGAAAGAAGGGAAATTATGTCTTTTGGTCATCCTATTACTGCTAAATAACTGGTATCCTGATATGATTATCTAGCCCTGGCACTGTGTTCACTCGTCCACTACTTTTCACAACACAACTTTCACACCAAATGAAAATTCAATTAACAAAAAAATCTACCCATCATAGAGGGTGTGGATGATACTATGCTTGGCAATTTGTAGGATGCAGGAAAACAAAATCCTTCCCAACGGCCATGTAACGTATTTTGAGAGCAGGGAAAGAAAAGTATATTATGGCTATAAAATTTGGGGTTGTAAAGTACCAAGTTTTAAGATTAGGTTAAACCTGATGGGAAATATTGACACTGCAGTGAGATTTTATGGTTTTACTAGTGACCAAGGTATAGCCAGGTATTTTCGTGAATACAAATCCAAGAATTTCAATATGTAGTTCTAGGTTTCCCCTTGACTAGGATTTTTTTTTTTTTGAGAGAGCTCTGTCTCCCAGGCTGCAGTGCAGTGGCATGATCATGGATCACTGCAGCCTCAACTTCCTGGGCCTCCAGCTATCTTCTTACCTCAGCCTCCCAAGTAGCTAGGACCACAGGTACATGCCATCATGCCTGGCTAACTTTTGTATTTTTTGTAGAGACAGGGTTTTGCCATGTTTCCCAGGCTGGTCTCAAACTGAACTCCTGGGCTCAAGAGATCCACTGCCTTGGCCTCCCAAAGTGCTGGGATTACAGGTGTGAGCCACTGTGCCTGGCCTTGACCAGGAATTTTATTTAGTACAGCTGGCCCTCTGTATCCACAGGTTCCATTTCCATAGATTGAACCACCGGCAGAGTGAAAATATTTGAAAAATATGCAATACAAAACAATACAGTATAACAACTATTTATATAGCATTTACATTGTATTAAGTTTTTGAGGCCTGGTGTGGTGGCTCACGCCTGTAATCCCAGCACTTTGGGAGGCCGAGATGGAAGGATCACAAGGTCAGGAGATTGAGACCATCCTGACTAACACAGTGAAACCCCATCTCTACTAAAAATATAAAAAATTAGCCGGGCGTTGTGACAGGCACCTGTAGTCCCAGCTACTTGGGAGGCTGAGGCAGGAGAATGGCCTGAACCCGGGAGGCAGAGCTCGCAGTGAGCTGAGACCGTGCCACTGCACTCCGGCCTGGGCGACACTGTCAGCATTTCACCATGTTAGCTAGGCTAGTCTGGAACTCCAGACCTCAAGTGATCCACCCGCATCGGCCTCCCAGAGTTTTGGGATTATAGGCGTGAGCCACTGCGCCTGGCCTTGTATTAGGTATTATTATATAGAAATGATTTAAAATATATGGCAGAATTTCAAGTATATGTGTAGTTTATATGCAAATACTACACCATTTTACATAAGTGACTTGAGCATCTGTGCATTTTGGTATCCTTAGGGGATCCTACATTTTCTCAATGCACTGAAGACAGCTGTCAACCAGTGGGTTAGTCTGGCCTATGAAAGAATGTGCACATAACTTCAACACATGAGAATGTGTCATTCTTGGCCTTGGTGTCAGATTAACCATTGCCATAGAAACACTTATGTGTCCTATGTTGTACCATTCATGATCACTAAGGCAACCACAAACTCTGCTGTTTGCTCTGAATCTCTTAGACTGTGAGAAGATGACAAGTACAGTTATTTTTATGTTGAAAAATAGTGGCCGCCCGCCTGCATTCCACATCAGAGCATAGCATACAGTTTCATAACTGAAAGGAATGCTGACCTCCGCCCAGATAGCATATGTTTTTAAAAGAAACCTAACTTAAAAAAAAAAAATTCTTGGATGCTGCTCCCTGGATCTTAATGTTCTATAAATAGAAATGAAATATGTAGAAAGATGACAACTGACTGCAATTAGCCCTCCTTTCTGTCTGCAAGTGTATGCCTCACAGATGCCTCCACCCCCAAAAAAAGTACAGGGTGGGTAAAGGATGTCTGAAGTTGGGCCTCAAGGAAACACTGGCAGTGTGATCCTGGGAGCGAGACATGATGTTCACCCAGCCCACTCATGCTGCGAACAGTTCAGGAGAAAAGCACGCAAGCAACAACTCGGGCAGCCTACAGTTGGCCTTGACAATGAGCCCACTTGTGCACCTTGTACACATGGGGGATGGTGTTTGCAGGTCAGACTCACCATATCTTTGCTGGTCAAAGCTTTGGGGTCATTTATATTATTTTTCAGTAAGTTGCATGCAGACAACATCTTTTCACTTAATTCATACCTGAAAAGGAAAAAAAGAACTTACGATTGGGCACAAGAGGAAAATCATTTTTATTTCAACCCAAATATATATGTATATATATTTTTTTGAGACAGGGTCTTGCTTTGTGACCCAGGCTGGAGTGCAGTGGCATGATGTTGGCTCACTGCAACCACGGCCTCCTGGATTCAAGCAATCCTCCTGCCTCAGTCTCCCTAGTAGCTGGGACTACAGGTATGTACCACCAGGCCCGGCTAATTTTTGTATTTTTAGTAGAGACGGGGTTTCACTATGTTGGCCAGGCTGGTCTTGAACTCCTGACCTCAGGTGATGCACCCATCTCAGCCTCACAAAGTGCTGGGATTACAGGTGTGGGACAGACACTATGTCCAGCTTCAACTTTTAAAAATGTATTTTTAAAAGGAAAGTGGCCCCAAGCCAGCCTAAGCGGGTCATTATGGCACAAGGTGCTTGGATAGAGGCAGCACAGGCATCCTTAGGTGTCCAAGGGTCATGTGCACTGTGCAGAGCCAATACCTCCAGCCAGAGATTGAGGCCTTGTTTGGGAGGGTGACTTTCGGCGTCACCAATTTGGCCTTTATGACACTCTGGAGTAACATTTAGAGATTTTTTTTTGCCTTTTTTTGAGACAAGGTCTCACTCTGTTGCCCAGCCTGCTCACTGCAGTTTTGTTGTCCCAGGCTCAAGCAATCTTCCTACCTCAGCCTCCCAAGTAACTGGGAATACACGTGTGTGCCACCACACCCGGCTTTGTATTATTTGTAGAGACAGGGTTTCACCATGTTGCCCAGGCTGCTCTCGAACTCTTGGGCTCCAGTTATCTGCTTGTCTGCCTCAGCCTCCCAGAGTATTGGGATTATGGGTGTGAGCCACTGTGTCCAACCTGTTCTAAGTTTTTAAAAATATTTTTAATCTTAAGGGGGTTGAAGGGAGACCCACATTACTTTTTTTCTGAGATAGGGTCTTGCTCTGTCACCCAGACTGGAGTGTACTGGCATGATCATGGCTCACTGCAGCCTCAACCTCCAGGGTTCAAGTGATCCTCCCACCTTATCCTCCTGAGTAGCTGGCATATGACACCATGCCCAGGTAATTGATTTTTTTTTATAGGGATGAAGTCTATGTTGTCCAGACTAGTCTCGAACTCCTGTGCTCAAGCGATCCTCTTGCCTTGACTTTCCACAAATTACCGTATATCCATTGTGCTGACCAGTAAACCACACATCCAAACCCACACTTGGTGACTCAAGTGTTTAACCCATATAAAAAATGACATATGGTATATAAATTACATCTCAAAGCTGTTAAAGAGCCATGTGGAAACACTTGGAAATATAAACTAAAAACACTTACCTTGTGTTAATGCAGTTAAACTTTCATTTGCCAAATTAAATAGAGGTTAAGTTTTCTGAAATGTTCTATTTACACTTCACATAGTGAAAAACCATACTGAAGTTTCCATCTTTTCTATTCTCTATTTTAGGAGCATCAAATCCTTATCAATGGTCTTGAAAGCTTACATTTTTAGGCACATGTTTCAGCCAACCAGTGTTTTTCAGATACTATTTATGATATACTCAAATCCATTCTCGTGGTATTCCTGATCACTCAATGTGTAACAAAATACAAACACATACTGCATCATCTTTACAGTAAATGTGATCTTTGGCTGAAGCCTCATCCACACAATGATCCTGTAATAATGATACTGACACCCGCATCAACACAAATAGCTAAAGATAAAATCTGAAGTCTTAAAGTATGCTGGCCACCAAAAAAAAAAAAAAAGTCTTTAAGGTAAGGTGTTCAAACAATGGAAGTTTTAGTGGATTGTGGTTCCATATATTAAATTATGTAGCAGAGTTGAGGTTTCAGAAAACAAGGGTGATTAGGTATCAGGCCATTCTCTTTTCTACCATAAGAGATTTAAGAGTTGCCATAATCTGCACTTGTATATATTAGTATCTCAAGATGTGTGTACCTCTGAGGAACAGATAAAAGCAAACACATTTAATTACAAAAACTCTGAACTGGCCAACTCGATTGCCAAAGTACATTAAATATGGGAGGGGCAAGGGAGGGAAGGGGAATGTACCACACCTCTCTCTGATTTCCACCTTCTCAGGTTCACATTCTTGAACCTGCATTTCATCTTCCACCCTGGCAGACTTGAAACCTTCAATATTAACTGCATGGTGCCCTTCTGCCATTCCCCGAGTGTCTTCATCCTCCTCCTCTTCCTCTTCTTCAAGAGGATACTCAATGACATCACACTCGTCATCTGACTCGGAAGAAGAGCTTTCATCTGAGCTGGAATCATCACTTGAAGTTGTTTCATACCTAGGTGGCAATTGGGATTTCAGGAGATGCAAGCTGTGCCCACAAAGCCCCAGTGATAGAAATTTCTATGAAGGGATTTGCTAATTGACTCCAGAAATTCCACTAGTGATTTTAGATCCTGCACTTAGAAGTTCAAAGTAAGGTCTATTTAAATGCCTGGTGGTTTTGAATGGATTCTAACTTAAATTGGTAATCAGTATCATATAACCAATTGGTATCATGTAACACTTGTTAAAGAAAATAACGGCATCTCGGGCTTAGTATAAATCAAGAGAAAACATTTTATGGAAAACAGATTGGTAGTTGCTAAGTTTTTGTCCCCCCCCAACCTCATTCATTTCTTCCTATTTCATACTATTAATCCTCCTAGTATCAAGGTGAATAGATTACATAGGCAATCAATAGTTCTGCTAGTGTATGCCCTCCAAAATCTCCTGGTCGTATCACTGAATAAAACTTTTAAGATTTGGAAAACAGACACCATAAGGTTAAACCCTGATGGTACACTTTGCTATAAACATTATCTTAACTTTGTATTCTTTCTTATGGAGGCCATGTATCAATTCATTGATTTGATTCAATTGTAGGATGACAGAGGCTTAACTATATACGTGGGGCAATGGAAAGAGAAGGAACAAACAATAACCATTCTATTTAGAAAGCAAACTGGTGATATGGCTATCAATTGTGAAAGGCCCTACGATTTGGGTGGTAAACATGGAGAGCTAAGCAAAAGAACTCATTTTGAAGGAATAGATGACTATTGTTGGCTCAGAGAGTGATGCTCTCAGTCTTTTTCTGCTCAATTGTGAGTTCTCATACAGGTTAAGTACAAGTTGTCCAACACAGTGCAGGAACCCTGCTGCATTCGTTGAAGACTATTTCTTTCAGCTCAGAGGTGAGGAGATGTAAACTGCTCGGCTTCATCAGGTATCCTTAAAACAGTGACAAATCCTTAAAAGACAGCAAGAGGAGGAAAGAAAAGAAGCCCAAATGCACCTTTCTGCCTTTCTGAGGGGGGACTCTTCCATCACCGCGCTGTGGCCGCTTCCCCGACTAGGCACCTTGAAATGTGACTTAGATAGGCAGGAGGCAAAGGAGACCGACAGCATTAGCCTTTAGAACCACCATCTTTCCTTACCCTCCATTAATGCCAACAAACTGAAGATTCTTTTTCGTGCCATTTGAATCTTTGTTACCATCTTTCTTCTTCATGATGGACTTCAGTGTACTTTCATTGTTTGTACATGCTGTGAAAAAGTCAAGGTAATAAAAATGAAAACTCATACCCATACATGTTAAATGAATAATCTTTTTTCCTGTACAATTTTTTTCTTACGCATGTAAATGTAGATCTTGGCATGTGTATGTGAGAAGTTTCCACAAAATTCAATGGGAAAGTGTGGGCATGCAAAGAAAATAATTCAGAGTTCCATTAATAACATTCTTCACATGGGAAAAAAATCAATTAGTACTTCCAGACATAACAAAGTGGTGACAATTGACATTTGTATCCGGCTTTAGTGCTTATAAAGTGATGTCGTGTCTCCTTTGGGCCTCAAGGACCATTTAGGCACTAAACAGGGATTATTATTTTTCTTCAGCTGTGATAACCTGCCAGAATGTGAATAAAAGGCTATTTAAAATATTTCATAACTTGTAATATCAGGTAAGCTTTCTTGTGCAGCTTTCTTTCTTTGGTAATTTTGAGACAGGGTCGCTTTCTGTCACCCAGGCTGGAGTGCAGTGGCATGATCTCAGCTCACTGGAACCTCCACCTCCCAGGTTCAAGTGACTCTCCCACCTCAGCCACCCGAGTAGCTGGGACTAACAGGTGCGCACCACCATGCCTGGCTGATTTTTGTATTTTTTAGTAGAGATGGGGTTTCACCATGTTGGCCAGGCTGGTCTCGAACTCCTGGCCTCAAGTGATCTGCCTGCCTTGGCCTCCCAAAGTGCCAGGATTACAGGTGTGAACCACCATGCCCGGCCTCTGTGGTAACCTTATTTAAAGATATTCTGGGCCTACCTTCCAAACGATATTAACTTTCTTCTAGGTCAATTTAAAAGGTGCACTGACATTAAATTGGAATGCTGGCAATGCTGGCCCTAGAATCCTGATGCCAATGACTGTAAGAAAAGTTACCATAGAGGCCAGCGGCGATCTGGTCGTCTGTCAGGTTCACTGGAGACAGCGTATCTTCCTGAGTGGGGAAGGCATCCAGGCTGTTGATTGGCTTTCCTTCTGAAGTCCCCACTTCTTGCTCAGGCTGGGATGTCTGGGAGCTTAAGGGACTTCCTGACTGAAGGCCTCCACACTTACAGGTATATCCCAAATTACTGCCTATCAGGAAAAAGAAAGGTACAGAGTATGTGATGCTAGGACTGAAAAAGCAGGATTAAAAAAACATAACTCTTGCAACTCATAATTTAAAATGGGACTATTATCTCAGCCACCAAAACTCAGAACGCCCTTTGACTCTTCACCGCTCCTGATTTCATTAGCATAGGCAGACTGCTGAGCCTCGTCATTCTAACTCCACAGCATCTCTTCTTTTCTATTTTGGCTGCTACCATCGTAGCCTTGGTTTCTAGTCATGGAAGTAGCATCCTTACTGCCCCTCTTCCATCACTATTTCCACTCTGGCACAATGCTTCAGAGCATTACTCCCAGCCAGCTCCAGTGCCATTGTTATTCTAGCTAAAACAAAATGTGACAACGCCTAAATAGCACCCACTGCTCAGGAAATGTAGTCCACACTGCAGAGCCAGAGATTCTAAATTATCCATAATCTGGCATCAGCTGACCCTCCCAACTTCATTTCCCACTCCTCCTGTCATCCTTACTGGTACAGGGACTGCATCCATTAAGTGCCAGTACTCACTGTACCGAGATGCAGGTCTTGTTTCCTGGCAGCATGCCTCAGCTTATGCCCTTCTCCCTGGAATACCTTTCCTCCCCCATCTTCACACAGTGGCACCCTCTCATCACTGCCTCTTCAGACCCTTTCCTGATCTCCTTTGCCAACAACGTTCCTTGACCTGAACTCTCACAGCCCATCTTTTGTACCTTCTCCTGGGATCTGTGATACAAGGTATAAGATGATGTGGATGATGGTTTTAGACTCCCCTGTAGATGGCAAATATTTTGAGGGCATCAAACAGTTCTGATCAACCTTGTTTCTCTTACCAAATCTACTAGAGTGCTTTTGTATGTGTTAACTACTTAAAATCTGTTCACTGACCAAAGCAGAAAATTTGGATTAAATACTACTTTGTAATTAATGTATACAGATATGTCAGTGAAAAGAGTCAAACTCTGTAAAAAAAAAAAAGAGGTTTACTCTGAGTCAAGTATGAATGACCAAGGCCAAAAGCACAATCTCACAAGGTCCTGAGAACATGTGCCCAAGGTGGCTGGGTTACAGCTTAATTTTATACATTTCAGGGGACTAGAAGTTACAGGCAAACACAAATCAATACATGTAAGGTGTACAGTGGTTTAGTCTAGAAAGGTGGTAGAACTCAAATGAGGGTGGGGCTTCCAGGTCTCAGGTAGATTCAAAGATACTCTGATTGGCAACTGGTTGAAAAAGTTAACTCATTATCTAAAGGCCTAGGAATCAAGAGAAAGGAGTGTGTGGGTTAAGATAAGGGGTTGTGAAGACCAGGGTTCTTATTATGTAGATGAAGCCTCCAGGTAGCAGGCTTCATCTACACAGATGGTAAATGTCTCTTTTCAGATCTAAATAGGTACCAGACTCTTAATCTCTCCTGGATCAGGAAAAGACCTGGACAGGTAAAGGGATTCTCTACATAACGTAGATACTCCCCACAAGAGACAACCTCTGCAGGGCCATTTCAAAACACATCAAAGAGGCCAGGAGTGGTGGCTCACGCCTGTAATCCCAGCACTTTGGCAGGCCAAGGCAGGTGGATCACCTGAGGTCAGGAATTTGAGACCAGCCTGGTCAACATGGTAAAACCCTGTCTCTACTAAAAATACAAAAATTAGCTAGGTATGGTGGTGGGTGCCTGCAATCCCAGCTACTTGGGAGGCTGAGGCAGGAAAATGGCTTGAACCCGGGAGGCAGAGGTTGTAGTGCCAAGATTGTGCCATTGCACTCCAGCCTGGGTGACAGAGTGAGATTCCATCTCAAAAAACAAAACAAAAAAAGACAAAATACATCGAAGAAATATATTTCAGGGTAAAATACTTCAATTTCTTTTAGGGTCTGCTATTTGTTATGTGACACTATACTAGAGTCAGGTTGGAATTTGTTATCTTATTGCTATAAAGAGTCTGTTTTATCACTCCTAAGATTTCTGTTTTAATGTTAATGCTGGTCACTTGTGCCTGAATTCCAAAGGGAGGAGGGTATAATGAGGCATGTTTGACACCTCCTTCCCATCATGGCCTGAACTAGTTTTTCAGGTTTACTATAGAATCCCCTGGCCCTATTCAGTTGGTTAGGTGGCTTAGAAGTTTATTTTTGGTTTACAGGTATATCACAGAATTTTCAACGTGGGCGATGTGCAAAAATGTTTGTAATATATGGTTAATTGAAAACAGCAGATAATACAATTCCATGTATTGTGTGATCCTATTAAAATACATTCACACACACACACACACATATCTGAAAGACTCTGTGCTAAATGAAACAGCTATGGTAGTTTTAATTTTTCCCCGGAATAGGCTGGGTGCGATGGCTCATGCCTGTAATTCCAGCACTTTGGGAGGCTGAGGCAGGTAGATTACTTGAGGTCAGGAGTTTGAGACCAGCCTGGCCAACATGGTGAAACTCCATCTCTACAAAAATACAAAAATTAGCTGGGCATGGTAGTGAGTGCCTGTAATCCCAGCTACTCGGGAGGCTGAGGAAGGAGAATCACTTGAACCCCGGAGGTGGAGGTTGCAGTGAGCCAAGATTGTGCCACTGTACTCTAGCCTGGGTGACAGAGCAAGACTCTGTCTCCCCACAAAAAAAAAAAAAAAAAAAATCTCTGGATTTGCCATTTTTTCTGTAGTGAATATGGGTTAACTGTGTTCAAAATCACTTTTAAAAATGAAAAATTATTTGACTTGTCTAAAAATTTTATCCTAAGGATGTAGAAAAAGATACAGAAGGCTACTGTTTCTATGTTTAAAACAGTAAAAAGAGGCAGACAGTCTGCCTATAAGCAACTAGCACATAAGCACTGGTATATTCATACAAAGGAATTCTATACAGCCATTACAAATCTTTTTGTAGGAGAATATTAACATAGAAAGATGAGCATGGTGTGTATTAAAAACAGGCCATACAATAGTATGGAGAAAATAAACCTACTTTGGTAAATACTTTTAATTTTTTTTTTTTTATTGAGAGACAGTCTTGTGCTGTTGCCCAGGCTGAAGTGCAGTGGTGTGATCTTGGCTCACTGCAACCTCTGCCTTCTTGGTTCAAAAGATTCTTGTACCTCAGCCTCCCGAGTAGCTGGCATTACAAGTACCTGCCATCATGCCTGGCTAATTTTTGTATTTTTAGTAGACATGGGGTTTCACCATGTTGGCCAGGCTGCTCTTGAACTTGTGACCTCAGGTGATCTGCCTGCTTTGGCCTCCCAAGGTGCTGGGATTATAGGCATGAGTCCCCCCGCCCGGGTTTTTTTTTTTTTTTTTTTTTTATTGAGAGACAGAGTCTCACTCTATTACCCATGTTGGAGTGCAGTGGCATCATCTCGGTCACTACAACCTCCACCTCCTGGGTTTAAGCAATTCTCCTGCCTCAGCCTCCCGAGTAGCTGGGGCTACAGGCACATGCCACCATGCCCGGCTAATTTTTGTGTTTTTAGTAGATTCAGTTTCACCATGTTGGCCAGGTTGGACTCGAACTCCTGACCTCAGGTGATCCACTTGACTCAGCCTCCCAAAGTGCTGGGGTTACAGGCGTGAGCCGCTGTGCCCAGCCTCTCAGTTCAAGTTTAATGGAAACTAGAAAAGATCAGTAGGCTGATTCCCTCTTATGATACATAACACAAATCAGCATCTACAACACAGCTCAGGCCATTCCCACCAAGGGAAGAAAGACTGGCCTCTCCACCCCTTGTAGGAAAGGCCTGCTTTATAACACACCAGAATTCATCTGAATCTGAAGTCTTAAGTTTTACTCATGGGAAACAAATATACAAAAGAGGTTTTGTTCTCATTGCTGCCCACTGGCATTAGTAAATAATTATATTTACATATATATGTATTAGAAAAATCATGGAAGGATATACAGGAAAACTGCTTTGCTAAGGCTACTATAACTTTTTTCTTTTTGTCTCTAATATTTCCTAAATTATACTTTATAAACACAAATTACAAACAAAAATTAAACATTTAAATCTACTCACAATGTCAGGTGATTACAACTTTATCCCTTTCAAAGTAAAGCTCTGAAATCTCTTAGATTCTTAGAAGAAAAGCAGTTTAAGTGTTGACTGTATTTTGAGGCAATTTGAAGAAAAAGAACTAATAACAAGCCCTAAAACTGCTCTGAGTTCTACTCTTCATAAGAATCACCTGTGACGTTGGCTAAAATGCAGATTCTCAGGCACACGGTGCCAGAAGATCATTCTGTAGTTCTGGGATGGGGGCCAAGTGACGGTATTTCTGACATTCCCCACCACCTACAAGAATCACTGATGCAGGTGGCCCACTTTGAAAACTGGTTTAAAACAATGACACTATAATGAAAGAGAGTTGGCAAAAAATTTAAAGTGAGGCATTAGAGATCACCTAAATTTTGTTGTTGTTGTTTGTTTTTTGTTTGTTTTGAGACTGAATCTTGTTCTGTCGCCCAGGCTAGAGTGAGTGCTGTGGTGCAATCTCAGCTCACTGCGACCTCTGCCTCCCGGGTTCAAGTGATTCTCCTGCCTCAACCTCCCAAGTAGCTGGGACTACAGGTGCGCGCAACTGTGCCTGGCTAATTTTTGTATTTTTAGTAGAGACTGAGTTTTGCCATTTTGGTTAGCCTGGCCTCAAATTTCTGACCTCAAGGGATATCATCTAAATTTTAATTCTCATACTTCCAGCTAAGGATTCTGAAGACCAGCTAGGTTCAGTGACTTGCCCCAGGCCACAGAGCTGAACTAGAACTCACGTTTTCTAATTCTGTGAACAGTCCCTTGTCCACATATCAACAGCACAATTCTTTCTCCTTTAGCTGTGGGACGTGGGGGCTACCTGGACGATTCCTTTACAAATCCAACTTCTTCAACACACACACACAATACTGAATTCAGTGGTCCAAACAATGTTTACCGCCATGTAACCTGATGTCCCCTATATGTCCCCTAACTGCAAATATGAAAAGC